AGTGCCCCCATTTTTGATTGCACCTCATTAATAGCCTTTTTGATTTCGACTTGGTTAGATTTTAGTTCTTTTATTTCTCCAGAAAGTGTTTTTCTAATAACGTCCATGCTTTTTTCAAGCCCAGCTAATATCTTTAAAATCATGATTCTGAACTCTAGGTCTGACATCGTACTAATGTCCGTATTGAGTAAGTTCCTGGCAGTCAGTGCTGCCTCTTGTTTTTTTTTTTTTTTCCCCTGAGGTGATTTTTTTTCCATGTTGTCATTTTGTCCAGAGGAGAATAGATGAATGAGAGAACAAAATGCTATCAGGGTAACAACATCCCCAGAAAATATACTCTAAACAAATCAGAAAAGACCTGAAACTGGGGGAAAAGAAAGGGAAAGAAAGAAAAAGGAGAAAGAAAAGATAAAAACAAACAAAAACAGAACAAAACAAAAAAAAAACAGAATATGATCAAAAAGATCAGGCTGGTGCATAGATCAGTGCCACACACTAGATGTTGGGTGTATTTTGGTCTGTTAAGCCTCCCAAAATTTTAAAGAAAGAAAAACTTATATATGTACAAAAATAAGGGTTGATAGGATGAAGGGATGGAATATGACTATAAAGATGAAAATTATAAAACATTTTATAAAAGGAATTGATAAGAAGTTGTTTGAAAAAAGAAAGAAGAGGATTTAAAAAAAAGGGGAGAGAATGTGATCAGGCAGACTAGAACAAAGCCATACACTAGAGATTTAGGGTATATTTTGATCTGTTAGAAGAAACTGTATCTCAAAATTTTAAAGAGAGAACAACTTAATATATATGCCAAAAATAAGGGTAACTACTATGAAGGGATATAATATGACTCTAAAAATGAAAAATAAAAATGTTTTTAAAAAAGAGATTGATAAGATGTTGGTTGAAAAAGGGGAAAAGAAAAATTAAAAAAAAAGTAAGACAGTTAAAAAAAATAGCTTTGAAAGACTAAAGAATCATGGTAAAAAAGCCATGATTCTATGTGCCGTATTTCCCTGGTGCTGGAGTTCTCCCGTTCTCCTTGATCGGTAAACTTGGTCTTGGCTGGCTGTTCGTGCTGATCTTCTGGGGGAGGGGCCTGTTGCCGTGGTTCCCAAATGTCTTTGCCGGAGGCGGAATTGCCCCACCCTTGCCGGTCAGGGCTAAGCGATCTGCTCGGGTTTGCTCTCAGGAGCTTTTGTTCCCTGCAAGCTCTCGGTGCAGCTTTGGAGGACCAGGGTGAAAATGGTGGCCTCCCAATCTCCACCCGGAGGAGCCGAGAACTCGGGGCCCCGCTCCTCAGTGCGCCCCCAGAGAAAAGCAGTCAATCACTCCCGTGTCCCCGGTCTCCGGCCGCACTCCGTGCTCACCGGCCTGTGACCGAGCATTTCTATCTCTGGCACCCAACCCCGTGTGGAGTCTCCAAACCCAGCAGATCCCTGTGATGCGCTCCCGTGCCGCTCCTCCCGGGGGAGGAAGGGGAGTCTCCCCGGATCTGCCGCTTGTTGGGTCCCTGCTGGAGGAGCAGTGGCCCGACTGGGCCGCGGATCACAGTTTATGGCCACCCCGAGGTGAGAGCCCGCGCCTTGGCTCCGTCTCTGCAGCCGGCTTCCCCGCTCCGATACCCGGGAGCTCTGCCGCACTCAGGCACCCCCGGTCTTTCTGTGACCCCGAGGGTCCTGAGACCACACTGTCCCGCAAGGGTTCCACCCCCCGCTTAGCCACTGGAGCGACATCCCCCCGCGGAGCTGACTTCTAAAAGTTCCGATTTTGTGCTCCGTGGCTCTATCACTTGCCAGAAGCAGCCGAGGGAGGCCCCCTCCCCCGCCGTCTATCCTCCCGAATATCGCCTCGGATTCATTTCTCCGCACGTCCTACCTTCCAGAAAGTGGTCGCTTTTCTGTTCAGAGAGTTGTTGCTATTCTTTTCTTCGATCTCCTGTTGAGTTTGTAGGTGTTCAGATGGTTTGATCCTTATCCAGCTGAATTCCTGAGACCAGACGAAATCCAGGTCTCCTACTCCTCTGCCATCTTCTGAAATGCATCTATTACTATCATTATTTTAATGCTAACATTGCTCAAGACGTGGCCAGGGAGAACCCCTTCAAGCCAGCTCCCACATTCTTTTCAGATTCTCATGATCTTGTTTAGCACTTCCTTATATTCCAAAATGTTCAAGGATTATTTGCTATGCCTCCGAATCAGCCCTGTGCCCAAGAAGCCTAGATTTATTTTAGAGAAGAATGGTATTAAGAAACACTGAGGTCTGGGGGCTTGATGAGCCCATTTCTACTGGGTTGTCCTTGCCTTGAGGCTCCTTCAGAACTAGACAATTAAAGATATATGGATAATATATAGGTATATAGCTCTATATTAAAAATCATGAATTTATCTTGATAGCCCTCAATTGGATCCAACACCACAGGGCTCCATTTTGCCTTCCTGCATTCCATAATTGTTCTTTCCTTCTCTGACACTTCTCCCTAATTTGTTTATTATGTAGTGACTTTCCTTTATATGCTTTGCTACTAAATATGTTAGTCTGAGCAAGCAAAATAATCTGGGTGTGGAAAAGGTAGAAAAAAGGTTTTGCTGCTGAACAGTGCTAACCAGCTGATGGGTCGGCATGATCCTAAATGATGCGCACGTGACTTCACATTTTAATCCTGTATAATTCTTGAAGTAGGTATGTCATGGTCATTTTGTAGAAAAAGAAACTAAAGTGTGAGGATTGTGTCCATACAAATGTAGGTAACATGAGAAAAGTGTCTTATAGAGCCCTAACCACCATATACAGTTTTCGCTGTGCTATTCCAATTTGTAACCAAAATTTAGTAGCATTTGTATAACCTAACATGTAAAATACATCGGCTTTTTACCTTTGTAGCTGAACAGTTTCCCCTAACAACTGATACAAGCAAATGCGACAGGGTCCCCCGCAGGTGTTTACGTACACACGAGACTGGTTAGATCCTGGGACATGTGTTTCTGGGGTGGGAAGTTGCTGGTGGAAACCACAGGTCTACATGACTTGGCCAAGGGCACTGAAGGCCCGTATACCCAAGCAGGTGAGATTCAGTTCCCACGGCTAGGAGAGTAGCAGGTGCTACTCAGAGAGCCAAGGGCCAGTGCTCAGGTGGAGGACAGGGGACACAGGCCAAGGACAGGGAAGGTCAGAATTCATCAAGTGCTAGGATTAATGGTGGGGGCAAAGGGAAAGATGGACCTCTCACTTACGTCTTGCACTGAGAATGTCTAGGGCTTATGGCCCTGGAATGAGGAGTGTGTTGAAATCTTATGTACATAACGATTTGAATGCCACTCACAATATCTTTATTTCTTTCCTAGCTAGTGAAAATGTCGTGATCCATCATTTGTTCCAGTCGAAACTGTCACAGACGGGATCCCTTGTGTCCTCCTATCCTTCTTTTAAGTTCAGAGGACAGAAATCAGCCCTGCTCAGTAAGAAAACGGCAGCTTCTTCAATTATTGGAGAAAGCAGGAATTATCTAGAACTCAGTAAGGTAGGAGTTTCTCTGATTCTTGTTTGGTTGTTCTGAAGTCTGCTTAGTACGTTTACTTTTTCTTTTTAAAGTGCAACATTGGAGTGCCTGGGTGGCTCAGTCATCAAGTGTCTGCCTTCGGCTCAGGTCATGGTCCCAGGGTCCTGGGATCGAGCCCCGCATCGGGCTCCCTGCTCCGCGGGAAGCCTGCTTCTCCTCCGCCTCCCACTCCCCCTGCTTGTGTTCCCTCTCTCGCTGTGTCTCTGTCTGTTAAATAAATAAATAAAATCTTTAAAGAAAAAAATAAAGTGCAACATTGGAAACTGATGGAAACAAATTGATATTTTAATTTAAAAAGTGAACGAAAAGGATGCTTCCTGAAGTATAATCATAGAGAGAAGGGACAGTAGAAGAGCGTCCTGTAGAGTGAAAATTCAGTAGCAAATAGGGCATTAGTAATTTTACTGGTTGTCTCTGCAACATCCTATTTGTGCCTTGTCTCGGTGACTGTCCTTTTGATGAATGGGAACTGCAGGGAATAAAGTTAGCTACCTTATTCTGTTGACAATCACTTCAGAGGTTTTAGGTCTCTAAATAATAAATTGTAGCTTCTCTTAAAGACATTGTGTATGTTGCCGGGGCTGGAGTTATTTTGACTGGATAGTTTGAAGATTTTAAGCTTACTTTTGGATTATACTAGTTTTAATGTGTACGTGTCCGACACACGTGTGGTTATACTTAAAACATAAAGGTTCTTTTTATAAAATAGAACTACAAATTCAGTGGAGTTTTCTCAAACTGATAGGAAATAGGTAGGAAATGTGTTAACGTTAAGGATTCAGTCCCTGACGGTAGTCTGGTTTGCTCCGCTTGCCTCTACCAGAACCATAGAGATGAGAAATATGTTTGGGAAGGTGTCCAGGACAATCAGTTTTAGAAATTCAGTTGTTGTAGATTGTTGGAATGCATTTTAGCTTACCAATTAAAATAAAAGCATAATTAAAATCAGCTCTATTTTGGAAGAGTGGCAAGATGTGTATAACATGTTAGAAATGAGTGAGCGCGCGTGTGCGCGCGCGTGTGTGTTTAGCCAGTGGACCCTACAATTAGGGATCCTTTGATGCAGTCATTCCTGCATTATCAGATCACAGGAACTCTATCTTACTGCATACACAATGGCATTTTTTACATAAAAAAGACAAAGGGTTACCCTTTGTAAGGAAGATCTCTACTCCTGAGGGTCTCGCTGAACCTCCTGACCTTTCCTTTCTCAATCATCCTGGAAATCAAGAGCAAGAAATCACCACACACCTCTAAACTGTAATTTTTAACCTTAATTATTAAACATTACCAGGCATAGATGCCATTAGTCTTTTCCCTAAAGGACTGCAAAAGGAAGATAATTCACAGTGGTTCCTCCACCCAGAAAGGGAAATTGAGTGTTCAGTTTCAAGGGATGGAGATTTATTTATTACGATTATTCCTTAAGTGTTTCATTCCTCACTTCCATGCAAACTGCCCTCATCCCTGCTCGTCCACGCCTGGGACCGGGATTCTACCCACGCTTTAACCGAGCGTCACACTTGGCTTTGTGTTTGTAGAAAACCAGTTGATATTGGACCAGTTTACATTCCCTTGTCAGTTACAATTGATCATTTCAGCTTGACAGTTCACGTTAATGGAAGGAAATGAACGGTTGCCATGATAGCAACAGCACCATATTGACAAGAATGTTTCATCAGATTTTTTCTCCTATCAAGACCTCTTTATTGTAACATAAATGATTTTGGATCAATAGATATGTTGGTCTAAGTCTGTGTGATTTTATGAAAGACAACAGTACATTAGTGGCTGGGGTTCCTTTTAACCCCTGGTGGGATTTAATTAATTACTTTCTGCCCTTTCTTTCTTTCCACATTGGCTTCATTTCCACTGACTTCTTTTATCTCCACTATCGTTTAATCTTTGCTACGTATGACCTTTTTTTCTTTTAAGAGCTGTATATAATGACTTATCGAAGAAAACACAGACTTTTGCCATTTTTCAGACAGGTAATTTACTAACTCCTCTGAGTAGTTAAAAAAGAAGAAGAGGAAGGGAAAGGAAAAAAATGGGAAGAAATTGATTGTGGTTAAACTTAAGGGAATAAACCAGTGATTGTTAGAGCATCAAATCTTTGGAACATAAGCGAGTATCCGTTTGCCTGACAGTAAGCTACCACTTCCTGAAAAACACACACAATGGTGATGCAACCAGGCACCAGCGGGAGCTTGTTTCCTCTTAAGCAAGTCGGGCTCTTATTCTCAAAATTCAAATAGAAGCAGGGTGGCAACTTCTGTGTACTTGAAAGGTTGGCAGTAATAGTATTATTTAACAAGCAGTTTCCCGTTTCCCCAATTTATAGTACCATCTTTGGTACTGATTTTTATAGTCTGCTATGAATCTGTGTCATCCTGTGAGTGAATTTACATGGATGGGAGGCGGAATTTTTTTCCTCTACGTGGAATTTAGGAAAATACTACTAAAATCACTATGTTGTACACCTGAAACTAATGTCAACGATACTTCAATTAAAAATAAATGACTACATACTTACATAAATAAATCTGCTCACCCTTTGTTTGTTTTTATTTTCATTACAGTTAATAAAGAAGAAAGGAACTTCTACATTTCTTCAAAGACTGGAACGGGGAGGTCCAGGCACCATTGCATCGCAACTCAGGGTTAGTGGATTTTTTTGTTTTCCAAAAGTTAGATTTTGATTATATCAACTGTAGAGGGCTTACGTGTATTTCTTCCCCATTTTTGACCTCTTGTGTACCTTCAGATAAAAGTAAGCACTCAGCGTGCACACAGACACACACACCACAGAGAATTCATAATAAAAGATGCATGGATTAAAGATAAACATTTCTATTGAAAAGCTCTTTATATTTTCAGTCAGTGTTTTCTTTGGAGAATCAGCTGTTTTTTGCTTCTCTCCCTAGAAATCTCTAACGGATATTATTGGAAAACTTCAGAAGCGCACTCCGCACTTTGTTCATTGCATCAAGCCCAATAACTCAAGGCTGCCAGATACTTTTGATAATTTTTATGTGTCTGCTCAGCTGCAATATATTGGGGTCCTGGACATGGTGAAGATCATCCGATATGGATACCCTGTTCGCCTTTTCTTCTCGGATTTCCTGTCAAGGTAAATTCTGCTCTTGAAACATTATGTGCATGCTTAGTGTGGCATTCTGACGATGTGCTAGCAAGGATCTTCTGTTTCATTCTTTGTTTCAGGCATCAGTTTTATTGTTTATACAGTTGACTCTTTGAACAATGGGGGAGGTTAGGGGCGCCTACCCCCCGACACACACTTGGAAATCCACATGTAACTTTTGATCCCTCCACAGCTTGACTACTAATAGCCTACTGTTGACCAGAAGCCTTACTGATAACACAAACAGTGGATTAACACATATTTTGTATGTAATACGTATTATATACTATATTCTTATAATACAGTAAGACAGAGAAAAGAAAATGTTATTATGAAAGTCATAAGGGAGAGAAAATACATTTATAGTGCTACACTATATTTATATAAAACAATCTCCATGTAAGTGGACCCGCACAGTTCAAACCTGTCTTGTTCAAGGTTCAAGTATATTCTTCTAAGTTGAGTAAACAAAATACTCTGGGAAACAATAAAATGCACTGACCAAGCTTTTTGTAAAAGTTACTAAACTTTGATACCTTGGAAACCATTTTCATGTTCCTTTATATAAGTAGATTTCCTTGGATTTAAAGATTTCTAAAATTGTTGCATATAATGTTTACATAAGTTTTTCTATTTAAAAGAACATAGGGGCACCTGGCTGGCTCAATCAGTAGAACATCTGACACTTGATTTTAGCTCAGGTCATGATCTCAGGGTTGTGAGATCAAGCACCATGTCGGGCTCCACACTAGGCATGGAGCCTGCTTAAGATTCCCTGTCTCCCCCTCCCACCTCTAAAAAAAAAAAGATTCTCCCTCTCCCTCTGCCCCTTCCCCCCTCAAAAAAATAAATAAATAAAAATAAAAGAACGTATATATGTGATTATTTTCTCCCTTATGTCTATGAACAAAAGATGTTTTTTAGATCAGGGAAACTACTCTCATTGGCCAAATCCAGCCTACCACCTATTTTTGTAAATAAAGTTTTATTGCAACACAGGCACTGGTGAAAATAATGACAGTGTCTGTTCTTAGGCTATTACAAAATAATAGGGAAGTAAGCAAAAAAAAAAAAAAAGAAAGGAAATAAAAAAGTATTTAGTAATCCTGTATAAAAGAAGGTGAAGTTTTAAAATAATACTGATATAAAATATTATCAATATTACAAGAATAAAATCTAACATTTATGGTTAAAACTAACTGTACACCTAGTATGGAAAATCTATTTGACAAACCATTCTTTTAAGAAAAGAGATTTAACACTTGGTTGACCAGAAGTTCCACTTGAGCCATTAGTGTGAGGAAGCGGCTAACTGAAAACAACTGTTGTCTGAATTGCCCTGTTCCCCCAGCAGAAGGTGGTGAGCGTGGCTGTGTGCGCACATGTGTGTATCTATATTATATATCACAATGATTAGAAAATGCTTTTTACCTTTGTTTTTTGGTATTTTTCCGAGTCTACTTTGACATATATACTCAACCAGGACTTACCTCTAGGAAAACAGTATATGAGATGAATGTCTTTTAAAATTAAGTACAGCATTTCACATATACGCATCTCTTGCTCTATCATGACCTCTAGGCAGGGACCGGGTCTTACTCAGTAACAATGCTTGTGCACTGTAAGTGTTTAATCAGTGCTTTCAGAATGAACCTGGCCTTGCAGATTATTCGTCAATTTAAAGCAATATTTCTACATAACAGAGACCAGAGCCATGGTTTGTTTAAAAGAGTAGTGGGGATGGGAAATGATACTTTTTGGTAAATCTTTGTATTTCTTTCACCAGCCCCTTACTTAAAAGGAAAGGAGATATGATTTCTACTTATCCTTATTTGCAGTGGCATATCAATAGAGATGGTATTATTAATTTATTTCAGTGGAAATTTGCCACCATATTTTTTTTTTTAGGTAGGCTCCATGCCCAGCGTGGGGCCCAGTGTAGGGCTTGAACTCACCGCCCTGAGATTAAGACCTGAGCTGAAATCAAGAGTTGGAGTCTTAACTGACTGAGCCACCCAGGCATCTTGCCACCATCGTCCTTAAATGAAGGCTGCCAGTCTAGGCTATTGTCACAAAAAACACTGATCCATAGAGAGATGATCAGTTTCTATAGAACTTGAATAAAATATAATTCACATACTGTCACATCAGGAAGTAACATAATTTTGTCTTTGGTATAGTTGACACACAGTGTTACCTAAGTTTCAGGTGTACAACATAGTGATTCTGCTATAATTTAATATTTATTTAGAAAGCTCATCAGAACTTTGACATTGCCTCAGGCAATCAAGCGTCATTATATAAACAAAGATTAGAGGTGCAATATAATAGAAAATTTTGCTTGCCAAAATCAGATAACCAAATGTATTGTTCCTATGTGAAATATTGATTTTCCCTTCCTATCACCTTGTCTTGTTAGGGAATAAAACCCTTTGGAAAGAAATTACTTTGTTTAGTACACAAAAAGGAATATGATTGCCACAGGCATATCTGACAAAGAAAAAGATGTCCCATTTTGAAGCAAGCACCTACTTATTTGAACAGCGTTTATTGTTCCTGAAATCCAGCAGGACACTAAACAGGGATAATGACATTCCTATGGAATCTATAGGTGGATGTGATGATATTGCAAATTTGCTTTGTGGTCTTTTGACTTTAATAACTGTCGATCACTCTGAGTCTTCCTAATTGAAACTGGAGAATCGCATTAGTCTAGCGTATCCAATTTTGATTAAATGGAGAGGTGCACTTGCTGAGTGTTTGCCTAATAGCATCAGTAGCTTCCCAGTGGGATGATAAAGATGTAAGGTCCTGTCTCCCATGACAAGAGTCTCCACAAGTTTGGATATAGGAGAAAAAGAAAAGGAGCATCATGATCCATAACTGGATTTCCTGTTGCTATGAACTAAATCGTACGTCTCCCCAAACTCATAGTTCAGTTGAAGCCCTAACCCCCACTGTAACTGTACTTGGAGATGGGGCTTTTGGGAGGGCATCCTTGTGGAATGAGCTCATAAGCATGGAGCCCCAATCCGATAGCATTAGTGTCCTCATGAGAAGAGTCATCAGAGAGCATGCACTCTCTCTGGGCTATACGAGGACACAGCGAGAAGGCAGCTGTCTGCAAGGCAGGAGGAACCTCTGTAGAAACAAAAGTGGCTGGCACCTTGATCTGGGACTTCCCAGACTCCAGAACTGTGAGAAAATAAACTTCTGTTGTTAAGCAGCCCCGTCTGTGGTATTTTGTTGGTAGTCGAAGCTGGTGGGGATACCTGTGTTTGTAGGATATGTTTCTCTGGTGTCCATGGGTAGCAGAGCTGGACGAATTACGTTGGGAAGTCTTTGGCGCTTGTTCTCGTTATAAAATACTCTTGTGTCAGTGGAAGGAAATAGAGTTTAGGGGCGTATATCCTGTGGTTTCAAAAACTCTCTCATCCTTCTTACCTTTGTACCCATTGACTCAGTAGTATTTACTTAATCTTGAAAAGATTCATTCACTCAGGCATGCTCCTTTGGACAATCTTTCGTAGAATCCCAAAGTGCTTGGTGTCTCTTTCTAGGCTTCAGAAAGGGCTTGTGCAAGACACTTGTTATATGCTCCCTGGAAATAGCCCTTCATGTGCCAGTCTCAACCACTAGACCAAGAGGTTAACAGATTACAGCCCGTGGGCCAGGTCTGGCCTGTCACCTACTTTTTCATATGGCCTGAGAGCTAAAAATGTCTTTTGCATTTTTAAATTATTGTATTTTAAATGGTTACATACATACAATATTTAGCTTCCTCAGTCTTGTCTCTTGGCATACAAAAGCCTAAAACGTTTACTCCCTGACCCCTTCCAGAACATATTTGCTGCCCCGCATGAGGTCATAGGCTGCTTGGATGAGGGACAGGTGTCACTGCATTCCTGGACTCCAGCAGAATGCCAGTCACCCTTTGTGCTTCTTCAGCCAACTCAGTGACACTGAATGGAATGGATCTCATATGCTCTTCTTTCTCAATAACTTTCCCTAATGTTGGTCTGGTTCTTCAGTGTGTGAGATTTTTCAGAGGGCACTGTAAATGACAACTCTCAGCAGTAGATTCTTGGAAGATAAAACCCCACGTCAGTGGCTCACAATAACAAAACTTTACTTCTCTCTTGCACTCATTTCTGTGATTTAGAAGTAGTACAGCTAAGCTCAGCCCAGCTCTGATCTGGGCCTCTTTTTTCATGGTGGGCCGCAGGAAAAGCCGAGATGTGGGACATGCCCTTTCGGTGTCATAGGGAGAGGAGAAATGGCTGGAATGCGTGTTGCAATGTCTGCTGAGCTGTGGCATTTTTCACTTGCTTATATTCCATTGGTTAAAGGCAATCCCTTGGCCAAAACCAACATGAATAGGGTGGAGAAATGTCCTATTCCTAGGAGATACTATACAACATGTAACAAACTCAGTTCATCTGTTGCTGTGTATCAGACACCCCAAAACTTCATGGCATAAAACAACATTGTATTATTTCTCCTAGTTCTGTGGGTTAACTGGGCTCAGTTGGGCAACTCTTGCTTGGGGTCTTTCCAAAAGAGCCATATAGCAGAAGATGGTGGCGTTGGCTGGGCTGGACGTATACGATGGCTTCTCCACTAATGTGCCTCGGTGTTCCTCCAGCAAAACAGTCTGGAACTCTTCCCTGGCAGCTCCCAGTTCCTGGGGCAAGAAGGGAACCTTGCAGTCCTCCTCGAAGCTGGGCCTGGAACTAGCCCATCATCTCTGCCCTTGTATTTTCTTGGCCAAATAGTTGCAGACCAACCCAGGTCTATCCCCTGGAAGAAGCAGTGGGTGGTAGCCAATGCCAGAACCAGCTACCATATCCCCTTGAAGGGAGAACGTGCAAGTAATTGGGAACAGTAGGAAGACTCTTCCATAGCCATGCCGCTTTGTAAGAATTGCTATTATTTCATCTCTCCCCAGTAAGTATATGGGAGTTCAATATGTTGAATAATATAATACC